TGTGTGTGTGTGTGTGTGAGAGAGTGAGTGAGAGAGACAGAGAGGGAGATGATCACTTTGGTACACTCCATTAACAGGTCCACATGGCCCACCCCCTTGCATCCCACTTGTACAGTCATTCCCCTGCTCACCTCAGTGTTTGTTTCTGCTCTTCTCTTCATTGATGTAATCTGATCTCATCATCTGGATGGACATCTTTTAAAAGGCCATTTATTGTCACCATGGTAGCAAACAAGGACACACACCACTGTAACCTGGTAAAGCTTTTTACACACTTGCGTGCACATTTAGAGCCCCAAGCAGAAAACAACACATTCGCAGATATAACCACAACACACACAGGAACACAAACAAGTCCAAAGGAACAGATGTGTGTCGACATGCTGCCCTCAAGGAGCTTTAACTGCATATTCAGGATATCCTTCTCTTCAAGAAGGTGACACATTTAAGAACATGCTTCCATAACAGTGTATTATTACACACACACATCCACCTTCTCCAAACGCCATTATAAATCTTGCAGACAGCCATGAAAATGAAACCAGTGCAAGTAACGTTGAGATTAGACATTCACAAACATGATTAATGGGGTTTGGACGAACCCAGTGTGTGCAGAATATTAACGCTGCTATGAGCACTGAAGGATACCTGGACCAGTTATACTGACACAAACACACATACATATACTGGGTTTTAATGGATTATTCCAAGTCTATCTTTACACAGACCCAGAAAGCAGCTTTTACTGCTGTTATGATTTCTGGGAACACACACAGTATAGCTCAGCCATTTACTAATGTTGGTATACTGAATATCTGAAAAAGCTTTCTGTTGAAACCAGTGTCTAAAGGTATGCTTCTCTTCCTGTGCCCTTATTCTTTCTCACAATACCTACACATGTTCATTGATACATATGTGTTTTGCGAACAAGGCCAAGGGACAGTAGTTTGTATAAATGTAACAGAGCACAATACATTACATTTTTTACTACAAGGCTTGCTATTGTTAAGATGGAAAATGCTTATGCATCTGTTTGTTACCAAGCAACAGGTGCAAAGTACAACTCAGCTCTGACTAGTTTGAAGACTGAAATAAAAAATAATTAAACTGTGCCTTTAGTGAGTATCAAAAAATCCATTTGGTTCTCAGTTACAATATTTCTTTACCTGCATATTTTTGTCCATGATTATCAGAAAATTCCCTCCATTTTCTCTTCATTTTGCAGATCAGCTTGAATGTTGAATTTAGACTAAATATCAGTGTTGACTTCCCACAGTGAGCTTAGGAAGAATTAATTAGACTTCCTGTCTCTCTGGTAGGAGCATGAAGTGTTCCGTGTGTGTGCGCATAAATGTGTGTTTCTGAGTATGTGCAAGTTGGAGCTGCTCTCTATTATTTTGTGTGTGTGATGCCTGCTCGTGTGCAAATCTGTGTATGTTGATGTCTGCCTGTGTACTTTCTTTGTGTGTGTTTGTCTTTGTTCAGCACATTGTAAGTAATTGCCTCCCACAAGTTAGATAAACAGCATCCGTCAAGTATTCAACAACCAGCTGTCCTAATATCCAAGTCACATTTGGAAGAACTGTTTCTTTCTTTCTTTCTTTATTTCTCTCTTTCTTTTTTTTCATTCGATTATGCACACACACAAACACAAAATACATTTATTTTTTACTATCCCTGCTGATCTTTCAACGTGTGCTCTTGCTTGTGGAAACCATAGCGCCACTGTGCATATGACTGTAGCAGTAGTGGCTCGTCAAACTAATATTAACTGTGCCAATGGTCAGATCCTTTCATAAATACAGTATTCTGTCAGATTACCACTTCTTCTGTCGCCAGAGAGTAGTTAAAGCAATGTTTGCTGTTATCATTTGAGACAATTAAGTGAACAAGTCACACAATTCCTTTGATGAACCAAGGTTTTTATTTTCAGAGACAGAATATGACACACTTAAACATATGTTTGAGCTATTTCCCAAAAGCATATTTATGTAATTTGTACAGAGAAATCATAATTTATCACAGGTGAAACTGAATGTATGAACCAAAGGTGTGAAAAATGCCTCCACAAGAGAAGTGAATGAAAATGCATTACACTTCAAAAGCACTGTGTTCCCATGCACATCAGCCCCCAGTCGAAAAGCTTTACAGACCACAATGATGTTCAGCATAATGTAGTGTGTGTGTGTATGTGTCCCATGATACCCAGGAGAAAATGTTATCACAGTATAGAACCTGAGGCTAGTCAGTTATTGGCAGATTTCACTCATTGGTCATTCATAATGTGCCAGGCGCTGTGTGTGTGGGTGTGTGTGTACGTGTACACAAATTTGTGTTTGACATCATAGCTGAGGACTTTCCGTCCGGTCCTCACAACTTCAAAGGTTTGTTTGATGTGCGTGATCTTTTCCAGCAGCCAACATGATTGTGTGGACCACCCTATGTGTGAGCAAAACTCTGCCACTCTGTGGGACAAGGGAGGCTTGTAGAAACAGCTGTTTGTAGCCTGTCCATTCACTTCGAATTAGTGCCAAAACTTTCCAACCATCAATAATGAAAAGCAAGTAGGCTTAGAAAACCGACATGTTCTGTCTATCTGTGTGACTCACCAGATGTAGACTGTGGGTGGAAGCCTGCCATCGGGTGCCAATTTTAGGCGACATTCTGTTTTCCTACTTTTTGGTTTGTTTAAAGCCTCCTTGCTCCAAGAAACAATCGGCTAGCAACCTCTGTGCTAGCTACCAACATGCTGAATGTGGGTGGGTGTGGTCATGTCTTTATAAAGTTATGAGGGCCAACTTTGGTTCAGTACCATCATTGTGAGGACATTTTGACTGGTCCTCACAAATTAGGGTTAGTTAGTTTTGATGGTTAGGGTAAGGGGCTAGAGAATGCATCATGTCAATGAGTGTCCTCGCAACTATAGAGAGACGTATGTATGTATGTGCACGTGTGTGTATGTGTGTAAGGCTATTATTGATATTGGACAGGGTCACGAGCCTAAGGCAAGGACATTGATGTCACAGCTAACCTTGTAGCTGTCCAATCAGAGTAGCAGCAGGATGTAAAGTCCCGCCCACACACCTAGCCCACCCCTGCTGAACATACCACCTGTCCTCCTATTACACACTTTTTTTTCATCATGCTTTCCAAACATGGATGTGCCATGGATTGAATGAGATAATTGAAATTAAAACCCATGCTCGACCAACACATCTAATTTACTGAGATGTAGCCTCACACAAAATGCTATTTACAAACACAGCAGTTGCAGAGTTAATCAGTTTATGAATAAACATGGGCAGGAACACTGCTGCACAAATAGGAGCCATTGACTGACACAGACACATATGTAGAAACACTGATATGCTTCTGACTTATAATCACTCTATCACGTACAATGTGACACACACTGTTTGAAGGTGAGGACCGAGCTGAACTGACTGAATGACTCCAGATGGTTGTTAGCAACAGGCGTTTTCTGTCCTGCACAGTGACAACCTACTTTGCAGTCGGGGGTGTGAATATGCACGTGTAAAGGTCATGTCCTTAGTCGTTGGTGTCAGGGAGAGTAGCTTTTAACAAGTTTGGAAAAAGCTCGTGTCTCGACCTCGTCCAAATACATGCAGAATCTTGTTTGAAATTAAAAACAAGAAAACAAGAATGGACTGTGTCTTTAGTAGCCTTGTTATTAATGTCCTTGAATTCAATGACCGCTCACACACCCAGTTCTCTAGTGCAGTATGCGTGCATTTTCAGTCAGCAGCATTTTTTATATTTGTAATAATATAAAATAGAGTCTTGTGTGAATCGGAACTGGTCAGCTGCTAAAAACATATTTATTTATTACAGCATAAACAGTAATTTGTGTGTCTTTCTGATGAGTAAATAAAACGATTGTGTGATTAATGAGTTGACAAAAAACGTTCACAAATCTATTTACAATCGACAGACAATCAATGGTTGGTCCACAGCTAATCAATCACCTGTATCTGATGAATGACTCCAATATTTTTCTTGTTCTTTGCGAGTCAGTGTACCAGGTAATAGTATAACTTATCTCATATATCAGTGTATAATGATTGAATGTACATTTCCTTGTGTGTTTACGCATATGTAACATTATATTTAATAAATCGTGCGTCTATTTTTATGCATTTACTGTGATTTTGCCCTGGAGTAAGAAACTGGAGCCAAGACGGAGGTAAACTAATAGGCTACTACAAGT